AGGACAGGAAGTCACCTTTGTTCTTCTGTACACAGGACGTTGATATAGATGATATTCACCAAGAATGCTTCGATCAACAAAACCAACTGCATTACAGGGAGGCTGAAGACTTCCCCTTACTCTACAGTGCACCTAGCAAATGAAAAAGGTAAATTAAATGAGACTCACAAAGCATAACTAATCAATAAAACCCAAGATCATGAGCTTTGGCTTGGTTGCTTCCCATTTGATCTGCACACTGAGAAATTGGATATTCTCATCCAATATGCAGAGCAGGAGGTTGGAAGACCACAAAAGAAGTAGAAAATTCATGATAGCACAATTATCATTTATATTTGTACATACGTCTGCAACAATATTGTCCTGCTGTTACATGATTATCACATTTTCATGTTTTTATCCATGAAGGCATACTAAACACAAGAATTTATCAAACAATATCATGTTTCTTTTCTTGCAAATCAGATAACAGTTTCCAAAAACAAATAACTTCAACTCACAATTTGAGTACCAGATCCATAGACCAACATATTGGTTGCTGGAGCTTCAAACTCCCAGTTAGGAACATAAAGACCATATAGCAGGCATGTGTAAAATAGGCATAAAAGCACTCCAACGATCCTGTATAAGAAAAATCTGAAATATGAGCATAAAAAAGAAAAGTGTTATCTAGTTAAGTTTATAATTTAATGTCTCTTAAAATACAACAGACTGTAAATCAAAGTCATAAGCATTACAGTCGTTAATGCACACTGTTAAGTGAAAGCATCAAGATAGTTGCATTTGTCACAACTGAGTTGCATAAGTTTGGCAATAACATATATATATATAGGCCTTCTAAAATAGGGCAACAGAATGCCTCATAACATTCTTGCCAATGGGCTTTTGAACACACTTAGACAAATATATAACATGACGGCTTAACCTTTTTGCTTTTCATAATTATAAAAGGTCCATTTCGCTAATGGATAATGCAAAATCATGGTTGTTAATGCACATTGGTAGTTGAATCATCAACACAATTGAACAAAATGGAAGTTCAGAATACGTTCGGCATGTCAACAACAGAATCACACATTCCTCCGGAAAAAGAAAGCGACAGAATGCCTTATCAGATATTTCCAACAGTCTCAAAAACAACTCAGACAAACATAAATTAGCACAATGGTCTAATACTTTTTCCTTTTTTTTCAATTATGGATGTAGTCTGTTTGATTTCGAATAATGCAGCTCCTTAGTACTCACCTATCATATTAATTGGCAGAGGAGAATTTTATTTCCGCATATAACTTCATAAACTTATTAAGACATAAATATGATAGTTCCCATTCCCTATTTTCCAGTCAATTTTACAAGGGAAAACAAAATGGTTCCATGACGAAATCAACTTAATGAACTTGCAGCCCATGAAGTAAGATTGACGCTCATGGAGCAAGACAATTAGTTAAGAATGATGGAAAACCTCCAGAGGAACTTCAAGATGATTTCCAATTCCAAGGAATTTGAATATCACAAACATGCAAATATTTGCAATAATAATAAGTAAATATTCGGCAGTTCCACATTATCCCAAGCAGCAACATCTTTTAAATGACAAGAAAAGCAGTCAAAGTAAAAAATCTCAAGTAACAGACCTAACCATTGAATGTTGTATTTTTTTATGAGAGCAAATGGCAAGTCAACTATGATATCCTTAACAAGCCAAATCTTTGATATAGCTGGTAAAAAATATCCAATTGCTATCCTCTGTTGATTGCAACAGCAACAAAATATTAAAATTGCAGAACATCAGAACATATGCATTATCCGAATTAAAGCATTAGATAACTGCTAAAAAATTTTCAAGTGCTATCCTCTGTTTATTGGAAACCAGCAATTCAAAAATTAAAATTACTGAACATCAGAATAAATCCATTATCCATATGTTGAATTAATCATTAGAACTTTCTTTTTCAGTTCACTGATAACTAATAAACACGATAAAGAATTGACCAGTTACTCCATAACATTTTGAACAGGTCAAGGACGTCATAAGTATTTCTTTATTGCTTCCATCATTCTTCATTACTTTTTTATTAGGTTCATTAGTTTTAACATCCTATTGTGCATTTCAACCAAAAAAAGTTTTAACATCCTTTTGTAGCTGGCAGCAGTGTTAACTTCATTTAAGATAAGTCCGGGATTCAAGATACAGGAGAAACAAACATACAATTCTCTGCAATTACATGATGCCGCTCTAGTTAGACAATATGCACCTAGAAAACTGCAGTAAGTGCTTACGTTGTCTTCTTAACTTAGTATATGGAACTTATTTCATTGTTAAAAAAAATCATAAATCTAAATAAATGAGGCAATATACTCTAAGATAAGATCCTTTAACATGACTTCATTAGCAGTAGCTGCATGATCCTTTGTAGACATTCTCTTCATGTTCCACCAACTAACAACAGTTTTGACATTCAGACAAAAACTTACATGCTGTCAGTTGATAAAACAAGATGCAACCACTTGTCCAGTTACAGGAGGTGAGAAAATGAGCTTAAATAGGCTAGTATTCCTATAACCAACGCCTGCAAGCTGGTAAAAATATAATTACACTTGGTCCATTGTTTGCTTATAATCTGTTATATAGCTAATGATGACACTACTAGCATTTGTTGTCAACACTGGTGAACATTCCAAAGGTTTTACTACATCCAATGAGGTTTGGCTAATCAGTTTATCTCTTTTGGTTTCATACAAAATTTAGCTAGCGAGAAAATATCAAGCAACTCTTTTGTTCTTATTCATAGAGCTGTCGCAGTAAAAGCCTGCAACGGAAAAATAAAAGCAGATTTGTGTAAATTTTCAGATTAATTTCCGTCCTCGAAAAATAATTTTCTTTCAAGGTCAATTTTATACAAAGGTTACAAGTGAGAGTTCAACTTGAAGTGGAACTCATTCAAGAAACAATAAAATCTTATCCTACTACATAACAATATCTTATCACATTATCCTATCATTAAGGATATACTATCAATAAGAAGTACCAAACTGCAGGCTATCTAATTTTCCAAGTAATTCAGTTTATATTAAAAGCTGATAACATTTTTTTCACGGTAGCAGGTGTCAGTTTGATAAACAGCTTAGTGAAGGACAAGATCCAGTTGATAGGGCACTTATGCAAGTTCATTATGTTTATCTCCCAACAAAACTGTAAACAAATCATCAGGAAAGCATAATCGAGTTTTTATGGCAGAATTTTTTAAGTAGACAATTATCTGAGGAAAAAACAGAAAATGACAGTTAGAATAAAGAACTATTGCAAAAGAGAATTATCATAAAACAGTACAATTTGAAATATAGATAATTAAAGCAAAAGAAAACGAAAGATGTTAACTGATGTAAAAATATTACCTGTAGGACTCCTAACCAACGTATCTGG